CCCCAAAACCCCAAAACCCCATCGGTGAGAATTAGCGAGGGAATTAAGTAGTTTAAAATTCAAATTTAAAATATCAAATTATATAAAATAAATAGAGTATTTTTCCCTTGTATATCTATCACAATACCTTTTATAATCATGAGTAAAAATCTATTTGCCAAACAGTTTCAAGACGAATAGTTAAGATAGAGTAAGACAAGGACATCAAACCCCTAATCATCATTTAATAATTAGAAGATGAGCACCTCAAATTAAAATTCAAGCGTCAATAGCAGCATACTGAATCAGAAGCAAAATAATAATCAGATGATAATGCAGCAATCAAACTCTGTAAATTTCATGAGTGCAAGTAATTATAGCAGTAATCCTAACTCCACACTTAGACGTTAACAAACTGCTAACACTATTAATTAAAATATTGCAAATAGTAAGAATCTCCTAAACAAGAAACATTAATCAATTTCTTCAGTCCCTGGTGCTCAATAATTAAATCCATTTCAGCTTTAGACCACTAGATTTGGAAATAAACCTCATTTTGAAGTAGCTAATATTGGGCTTAGAAAAGGATCCATGCAACAACAATAGCCATAGGGGTTAAGCAGTGGTACAACACACCAAAATATTCCTAAACTCCATACATCAAATAAAAGTTAAAATGAGCTATTACAAACAAATCAACAACAATAATTGGCTAATGGAAGTTTATCTAGGATGTAAAATTAAATATCTGACCATCCTACTGGTAATCTCTTGCTAGCATCACTAGAGCAATTAAATATGAACTAAATCCCAAAGTAATCAAGGAATTCTAATATCCCAAAAGCTAGCTCTGCATAAAATCCAATAATAAAAAGCCATTAAAGCAGTATGGATCATGCAAGTATAACTTATTAATTGATAAAGTAAGGTGCCTATCATACTTAGAATAGGATCCCACCAACTAGTCAGAACTAATAACTCATTCAGTTCTAGAAATATGGAGATATCCAAAGAAGAATCAATGGATCGTCTACAAGTCATCTTAGATATCACCCTTAACCACATAACGATAGTAAATAAATAAGCATTCATCATAATAATCAAAATAATCATCTCACTTAGTGTGAAACCGGTGCTAGCATTGATATGCACCAATCAATGATGGCATAATCCCAACTCTTCCAGTAGAGACCAATATCAAACATTGCAGTTATTGGAAATAACATTAATTTAGATACAATTGTAAACTAAACTGACTTATTGTCAATGCAAAGTTCTCTTATTTCTGATGAAAATACCGGTAATACTGCAACAGCCTCACTTTTAGAAGGATCAATAGGAGTTCAGTTGCCTTAAAGCAAAATCAATACTGCTGCAAGGAGACATCTATTAATTAAGAATATAGCTAAAGATCTAGGGGATGAAGGAGAAAATTTGAACTAATCCAATGAAGAACATGAACTAAACCAATCAAGGAGATAATTGTTGAGGTCAACTATTATAGATAAAGATGTCCATTAAGAATCTACCAAGCAATTTATTGACTAAGATTCACTAATTACTGTACAGAAGCATTTAGGAGAATTATCACAAGAGATAAGTTCATCCTCGCAAGATTCATATGATCCTAATGACGGAGATGGAATACTTCCTCTTCTTGAGAGTTTTGTAAAGAAGAATGAGCTAGCATCGATGAAGCAGTTTTCTTGTTTAATCAAAGGTGATACATAGAAAGCTTTAATTTACAGAGCAATTGAGCAAAAGCAAATTCCTATGCTCAAATATTTATTGACTGAAACCTAGAAAATACTATCGAATCTCAATTTACTACACATTGCTTGTAGGCAAAGGGACAACAGCAATGAATCTAAGGAAGTAGAGATCATAAAGTCTATTCTAAAATATGATAGATTTGCTGATGTTAATTCTCAAGATACATATGGCAACACTCCAATCCACTTGGCTGCTCAAAATGGTAAACAGCAAGTTCTTTAGTATATACTCAATACCTAAAATCCAAATATCTATATCAAGAATAGTGAAAACTAGCTTGCTCTGCATGCTTCTACTTCCCAGGAGATATTAAAGGTAAATTTCTTATAAATTCATAAACTTTTAATAGATCTTTGTTGCTCATATTCAAAAGATGAAAGAAAATATGGCTAAAAATGAGGATGTGTCTCAAGACAATTAAAACTAGAATAGCAACAGATCTCATAAGACAAGGAGAATTATAACAAGAAATAAGAGTGAGCATCAGCTAAGCTCAGCAAAAAAGCAAATTTCAGCTAGCTCAGTTGATAAGTAGCCAAAAAGAGCTCCATTAAAAGATATATCAAATTTCATTCAAAATGATTAAAATTCTCTGCAACTTAACATCAACGGAAAGGCAGATAGAAGATAGTAAACAGAATCAAAGAATTCTAATCATCACTATGAGACAGAACCCTCAAGTAGACTTAGAGTTAGATAGAGATAAGCGAGCAAGGATACTCAATAGTATGAGAGCATAATGGATTATTGTAATAAACAAGCCCAACAAAAGAATCATTTTGAAAAGGATAAAAAATACTTGCTTTTTAGAGAAGAAGAGTTTGAGAAGGTAGTTGAATTTACTGAAAGTGATGAAGAAGGCAGTAGTCAAGGAGCAAAAGAGATGCGAGATGATGAGGATAATGACAGCTAAGGCATGCAGTTCTGTGATGAGATTAGAGAAATTTCAGATGAATCTTTCAAAAATTCGATGTTAAGACCTGAGTCCAAAATTGGTCCTAATTCTTTTGAACCAATATCTTTGCTAGGTTCAGGAAGTTTTGGGGAAGTCTACTTAGTTAAGAAAAAGGATTCAAGCTAGTTATTCGCGATGAAGGTGTTACAAAAGCAAAAAATAATGGGACAGAACCTAGTAAAATATGCCATTACAGAGAGAAATGTGCTCTCTTACACTAGACATCCATTTATTGTTGGACTAAATTATGCTTTCCAAACAAGAGATAAATTATTTCTGATTCTAGACTACTGTCCTGGTGGAGATCTTGGAAAAGTTTTGACAAAAGAAAAGAGATTGACTGAGGAGAGAGCAAGGATATATCTAGCAGAGATTTTATTAGCTCTTGAAGACTTACACAAGAGAGACATTATTTTTAGAGACTTGAAGCCGGACAATGTAGTCCTTGATGAAAATGGGCACGTTCTTTTAACAGACTTTGGGTTGAGTAAGGAAGGCGTTCTAGATAACCAAGCTGCTAAATCGTTTTGCGGGTCAGTTGCTTACCTTGCTCCTGAAATGCTCAGAAGAACTGGTCATGGCAAAAGTGTTGACTGGTATCTACTTGGAGTTTTACTTTATGAAATGCTGGTTGGTATACCACCTTACTTTAACAATAACCGCGAAAAACTTTTCCAAGGCATTGAGAGAGGTCCACTTCTAATTCCTGCATAGTTCTCTAAAGAAGCCAAAGCTCTCTTGATAGGGCTACTTAGCAAAAATTCAATGAAAAGATTAGGGGCCGGACCAAGAGATGCAGAAGAAATAAAAGAACATGAGTTCTTCAAGGATATAAACTGGTATGATGTGCAACACAGAAAGCTTCAACCGCCAAAGCCTGAAATCCGGGAGATTAAGCAACTAGAATTTCCATATGAAAAATTTATAGAGGATTTCAAACAAAGCATTTACGGTGATCTATTAGAAGATGAGAATAGGCTAGCAGGGTGGTCATTTGCTACACCACATGCAGATATAATTTAGAACAACATAATTAGCAAGATCTAGAGCAGAAAATAATTAGAGAGGGATTAGTTATAAAATCAGTAATGAAGATAAGATGACAAATTATGTGATTGATTATTGGAGCAAAATGTAGCCCATGTTGATGATTCTCAATCTCATCAGAATGACATTCACAAACGTACCCACGTACTCCACTTAATGCATATTAATGATTGCACTTTATATTGTTATAATATGATAGGTTAAATTTATGTTAAAATATTAATGCTTAAAATTGTTAAGTACTTAAGAACTGAAAAAATTAAGAAAGTAATTATCTGTCGATCTGTGAGATAATCAAGATAGGAGTTTGATCTTAATTATATACACATCTATCTAAAACCAGCTTTTCTAAGTCTCACTATTGCTTTTTTGTTTCATTCTCTCTCTGCTTTTAGTTCCCTTTTAAGGATTTTAAAAGAACTTGCAAAATTCCATTAAACCAGATCAGATTCAGAATATAGATTGCGAAAAATATGAATATGATGTAAAGTCCTACAACTACTTTCAAAATTGGTAATCCCAAAATCTATAATATTAGATGCTTAACTCAATAAATGTTTACCCCTTAGTCTTTGATAGTCCAAAAGAATAATTCGTATATGTAGACTATTACAATGGAATTAAGTACTATTCTGCTGAAAAGAAAAGTCAAAAAGAAAACTAAGGCATTCCATTTATATATTGGCTCTTAATTTCTTTTCATTGTGAATATAAACTATCTATAATTGAGAAAAAGAGTTGAGAGCTCATTAATTATCATCAAGTTCTAAAGAATCAATGTTAAATTTATAGGTTTGACTTACAAATAATACAAGTGGACCTCCAGCCCCATAGACTATAGACATCATTGCTCCTGTGATTCCAACAAAATGATGAATATAAGTCTAATTTTGCAATTTACTTTTCTCTTAACTATAATAAGGCATTTAGGCAGCTGAATTACATTAATGCATAGCAGACCCATGTATCAAAGGTTAAATATCCTATAGTAAACGCACATGTCATCATCTGGTAAATGCTAGAATGATACTGTCTGCAGTAGTCACTTGTGAAAAAATTGCTGTACCCATCACCTAGACTAGGGTCAACGCTATATCGAAGTTAAATTAACAGCATTCATATATGATTATATAGTGGGACCTACCAAGTGAAAAAAACTCCATTTATACCAAGTGAAATTGATAGTACCGCATGAAATTGGGATGTCACACGTGAATTGAAGTCTGCTTTTTTCCGCTCATTCATCTTAGCGTACTCTTAAGCCAATACATTGTACTTCTGATCCTCCTGAGAATCGAAATATGCCCAAGATGAGTAGAAAATAGTTAGGAATAGAAATATGGAGATTAAAAATGTGCTCGCAATAGTCTTATAATCCGCGGGAGTTAAAGGCTCAAGGTTATTCATTTTTAAAGAAGATTATTATGAGTAGGAATAAGTATAAAATAAATAAGCAATAATAACGAATATAATTTGATCAATCAATCTGTCAATATGTAATTATAAAAAATATAATGCGTTGTTCGTTTTAGGCTTTGTATCTCTCATCTTGGGGTTTTGGGGTTTTGGGGTTTTGGGG